CATGACATGACTTTGCACCATCCACCTCTCTCCCATTTCTTTTTGCCCTATCCTTCTAGGCTTAGCTCAGGGGTCCCATCCTCTGGAGATGCCGTCCTTGATCCTTTTATCGCTGGGCCAGGTTAGAAGTCTCTGCTCAGAGTTCCCTGCTGAATGGGCTAACTCCATTGCTGCTTTGGCAGGGTGCTCCACCCTCCTGTTCTCTTGCCTCCTTTCTAAACTAGACCTGACAGGGTCTAGAAGATGCAGATGGTACCTGTCGTTGGTTTAGCTCAAATGCCCATTTCATGCCCAGAAACAGAAATGGGAGGACTATAACATCTTAGTTATATGTAAATAAGGAAGAAGGAGAGATGGGGAAGAAGGTTGCTCTAGTTGTTTCCAAGAGAGAAGGAAGTTCTGGGAAAGAAGAATCCGAGTGAGGCTACTAAAGAACTGTACAACTGAAAGTAATTACATCTCCCTTGGTATCTAGTAACAAGCAACTTAATTTCTTGAATTTTCTTATGTCATCTGTCATCTTAATGATTTTTTTCTGGATAATATTTTTTGGATAATATTCTTTCAATATGTACATCAACTGGACTGTTTTTGTTAATTGTTTTCCATATCTGGGCTTAAAATGTATTTGTTTTAAAAATGCTAAAGTGATGATTATATAAATGAAATTATACCATACTCCAGATTTGATTATTTTGTTTTCACCTGAAACAAAGATATTGCTGGAGGCATTACTGTTTTGTGTCATTATAAATATCTTGAAAAAGTAACATTATCTTTATAAGAGATAGTAAACTTTTAACAACAATGGCAGAAACAATGAAAGCTATCACATTATATTTTTAATTAATTTTTGTGTGTTTCTTTGGCTGCCCCAACTTCTGCCTCACCTTTGCTTTCAGACTGACTACTCCAAACTCTCAGACCACATTCATAAAATAGATTTGGCCTCAGTCTGCTCTGCTTGCTTTTCCCAGTGAAATCACATGCCCAGGAGTGGAAGGCATGGAATATGAAAATTTATGGCCCATCATGTATGCTTGACAGCTTTGGGATCAATCACAGCTGTCCTAGAAACACCAGCTCATGCTGTTATGTTCTTGAAACATACTATATACTTATCCGTTTGATTCAAACTGCCTTCCCTAAACAATGATCAATACATTTTGGATGATCACTCAAGATTGATCAGAGCTACCTTTTCACGAACATGCCAGAAATACAATAGATAAGATAATCTATAATGATGAAGGATGCAAATTTGGGGGCATCGAGATGAGTGTGAGTAATAGATGCTGTGTTCCCATTTCATGCCATGTCCTTTAACTCATAGCAGCACTTGGTAATCAAAGGTACTCTTTTCTAGTCACTGTTGACCATCTACCCTTTCTTGTACTTGTTGCTAAGTTGATTTAACACACAGGTTCACCAAATACAGTGGGAAACTTTAAAATGAAAAGGTTCTTGAATAACATGGCTCATTCTTCACTTTAATCCCTGGCTGGTTTTTGACAAACATCAGTAGCAATAACTCCTGACAGGCACTGTCACCTACTGCTCACTCCAGGTTCAAACAGCCACATCTCAAGCCACATGCTGCTTGTACTTCCTCTGAGGGAGAAACAGATTCACAAACCCTGGGTAATCATCCTCAAACCCTAGCAGAATTAAAGGAGAATCAATTGCACTCCTGAAGTTATGGGGCAAAGGCATTGGGAGAACAGTTGTCCATGTGAACGATTAGGTGATAATTACATTTTATTGAATTTCACAAGTTATAAAATATATTGGCTTATAGATGTTTTGTTTTCTGCTATAGCCTAGTATTTAGAACAGTGCCTGACACATGGAATTACTAAATTAAAGAATATCTAAAGAAGGGTATTAGTCTTATGAATTTTACATATTACTTATTCAATGACTTTAATAAAAGGAATTATTCAATGATGTCTAAAATCAGTAGAGAGAGGAATGAATTAGAATGAAAGGAAAAGCTGGGGGAAAAGATTTCTAAATGATGGTAACCACAAACATGATAAAAATCTGGATAAATAAATTTAGATCTTAAAAATTTGCTAATGGTCCATTCTTCAGACAGATTTTGACATTCATTCCTTTCTCCATTAAGAAAATATTTTTTAAAAGTAAAATGTATATTTTTAAAATCCCGTCTTTCTCTTTTTAGAAAAAATAATATTGACCTAGCTTCCAGAAATTTGAAATAAGAGACTGTTTGCTGAAAAAATAATTCTGCTTATCTAGAGTGGAATTGGATTTTGAGGAAAGTACCTTTTTATTAAAGCATGACTTCCTCTTTGCTCCCAAAGTGCCAATACCTAGATTTGTGGTGTTCTTTATGAGTGCCTGGTGCTTCCATTTATCTTACTGTATGCCAAGAGTACATGATCTTGACCTCTCTTTATTGGAGCCATTTCTGAGTATTGTATCAGCAGCTAGCAACTTTGGGATTGAGGTAATGTCTCCCCATTAAGACAAATAACAGACTTGCTTACTGCTTGCTATAAAACAACAGATTCCACAAGTTGAGGGTTCCTCTCCTGAATACCATCCTCTGTATCATCCCTGTGGAAACTGGGCCCTATAGAATGGATGTGACATGCTGTTGATCAGCTATGGCTTTTGCTGTAATGAAGTCCTTCAACTTTGACCCAGAAGTCATGTGTCTTCTGTTAGCATCCATGAAACTGTGACAAGTTAACATCAGAGCCCTCAAGAGTTCTTGAGAGTATGACTTCATCTAAGGAGGGGATGGCTCATAATTAGAAAATTCCAGCACTCTCAAGATGCAAGAAAGTGAATTTTCAAAAGGAAAATTCAGTGCTTTAGATATTAAAAACAACAACAAAAATCCCTGATGCTATATATGAAAAATACTCCTTCACTCATGTAAATAGAAGTTTTAACCTGAAAAAATTAAGAGGTTTTGAAATTATATTAACTTTTTAAAATTCATCCCTCTATTTATTTATGAATGTTATTCCAAAGATTTAATAAAATGGTGATGTTAATAAAATAAAATTTGGAGTTTCCACCGAAAAAATCAAAAAAGGGAAAAAAATTGTAAGTCATGAGAGGATTTATCTACTATAGAATCTCATGATTTACTGCTTCTTAATAATATAGTGAAGAATTCATTTTAAAAGTAATAATTAGACATCCATTTTCCAAACTTCAGCTTCTATTTTTGCTGAGGTAAAAGTATCTATTGTTTTTTTTTTATTGAATTTGTAGCTTTAAAGCTGGAAATTATTTCTTCGATGCTTTAAAAAGGGAGAAAAAAATCTAAATCTTTTGGATGCCACTTAGCTATAGAAATGCTATAGCATGGATGAATCCTAGTTCAGTTGATCATAATTTGCACAGTTAACAGACATGGCATTCAAATGAGCAAACTCTAGGGAGTCTAGAAATCAAAGTCTTGGGGGTTAAGAAATATGAATTCCATTCTCCAGATCTGAATTGTTTTACTGAGTGACGGTGAGAAAGTAATAACTACTCTTGCCTTTCTCTTCCTCCTCTTCCTCCTCCTTTTTTTTTCATTAAATTTTACTAGAGATATTCCTTCTCCTTCAGGGCCAGGAGTAATATTAGAATAAAAATCTCCCCGGCAAAGTACTAAATAATGAGAGCAGAAAAAACAGGTGAAAAATAGAGAGAGAGAGAGAGAAAGAGAGAGAGAGAGAGAGAGAGAGAGAGAGAGAGAGAGAGAGAGAGAGAGAGAAAATGAGAATGAATGTGTGAGAGAGGAATTCTATACTTGCAAGGCTGTAAACTATAGGGTTTCTAATAGAAACACTGCTTTGTAGCAACATGTTTTATAACTGTTTTCCTTAGAAACGATAATAATTGACTTGAGGATGACCCACTCAGTTTGTAGATTGAACATGAGATGTAAATTAATGTCTCTTATTCAAATATAGGACAGCTAAGAGGAACAACACTTCACATCTACATTCAATATATTCATTAATATGTTATTTCTCTTTTAAAAATAACAAAATTCCAACAACAAATAATTAAACAATAAATACTTCTTTAATGTTTTTATGATAATTCTAGCCCCTGTTTTAGGATTTTCCTATTCATCTTTTCAAAAGTTTCTTATTAATAAAGAAATTTAAAGTGAAGTTCCTCTTTGAAGGACACTGTACTCAGAGTCTGTCATGACTTTAGATCACATTGTAACTAAGCTTCCTGGGATTTCCCCATTCATTGCCTGCCACGATGTTTATTTCTAAATCAGGGAAATTTAACTTATTAAACAATTTCAACATGGTGGTTGGAAGGTATATATTACACTGGTATAGGTAGAAAAAAATTCAAGTAAGATCACCATCCTCAAGTGATATGACCAGGACATTACCACTCAATAGGAACCACCTGCTACCATCAATATTAAATGAGTCAACAAGAAGAAGCAGAGCACTTCGTGAACTCAAGATGATCCAGAGATGGTCCACAGCAAAACTTCTCTGTGCCTGACTTAAAAAGGCAAGACCAAGCTAGAGCAATCAGGAGGGGCAGTTTCTGGCCTTTTGGTTTGCAAAGTTTTCACTACTCATGTATTTCTACCTAATAAATGAAAGAGGATTTAAAAAAAGAACAAAGACCTTTTGGTAAATACTTTTAAGGTTTTTTTTAAACCTTGATATATTTTATGAGACTCCCCTTTCCCTGTTAGAAATACCACAATGTAGACACAAGCATTCCCCACGAACAACCTATGGTAGCTCTAAAATAAAACTTTCATAAGGTCATTTTTTAAAAGTAACTCTTTACCTGTGAAGGCACAGAGTCTCTTAGGTTTGAGAACCAAATAATGAACACCATGGAATATATTTTGAAAACTCTCCTTTGCTGCTACTAATTTTGAAATTCTACATGGAGTTTTGACTTCTGTGATCTACAACTATTGCAGTAATGGGTCTGTTACTACTTTGCATGAAAACCTAAAATTATCATCTTAACCTTACACTGACCTTATTAGCACTGTTAAAAAAATCATTTGCCTGTTTTAACCAGGTTTTCCTTTCCACCATGAGTCGACCAAATTCTTCTTGAAGCTGGTTCAGTTTCTGGTTAGATAGCTGTAGATGTTCTTTCTCCACACAGTCCTTTCCCCACAGAATCCCCAAGGCCTCGCTTTTCAGCTTCTCTGCAATGGAATTCCATTCCTGCAAGAGAGAACTCTCTTCAGTTATTATACACATCCCCTATGATGGATTGAATGTTGGTGTCCCTCCCCAAGTTCTTGTGTTAAAATCTAACCTCCAGTAAGATGACATCAGAAGGTAGGGCCACTGGGAGACGATTAGGTCATGAGGGTGGGGCCTTCTTAAATATAATTAGAGTCCTATAAAAGTGGCCCAAGAGAACTCTCTAGCTTTCCCCCCACTATGTGAGAATACAATGAGAGGTTAGTCATCTACCACCCAGGAGACAGCCCTACCACAACCCAATCAAGGTGGCACCTTGATTTTGGACTTCCAGCTTCCAGAACTATGCAAAATAAATTTCTATTGTTTATAAGCTACACCATCTGTGTTACTCTGTTACAACAGCTCAAACTAAGACACTTCCCCACTCTGTGATCTAAGATTCAGAGAACATTTACATGTGTTGAATATATCAGAAATCTGTCATATTTTCAAAACATGAAACTATAATAAATAGTATAGTAGTGCATGCTGAATTATAGGTTTGAATACCAACAGGAAGTTACAATACAAAAGGATGCAGAAAAGAGGCTGAAAAGGGAGAGAAGGTTAAAATAGAAAAAAGCACAGAGATGAGTGGCTGATGGAACACCTGGTTGCCTGAATGCAGGTCATTTTCATTTCTGTTACCTGTACCTGGAAGCAGACCCAACACACCATCAACAGCATTTTAAAATCTCTAACTCATGTTCTGTTTGTCTCCATTTAAGTCTCAAAAGCTCTCTCTCCCAGAATTCAGTCTCCCTGTCAGCAAATGTGTACAGGAAAGGAAGAGAAATCGCATATCTCTGGCATTTGTTTCTGTGTGTGCCTACGCAAAAAATTCAAAGATGTGTTATTCATCATGAAATTCAGACCCATTAGAGTGCAGTATTCTCTCTTTCCTGACCCTAGTTTCTCCTCTCAAAGCATCACTCTTAATGATGTATAAACATTTCAAAAAAAGAAAAGAGGTAGTTTTTTTAAAAAATTTATATTGTGTAAGGATGAGAAAACCACAAAAAAGAAAGAAAATAACAGTGGGATTAAGCCAAACATTAACATTCCATCTAAATTCTTAAGGGAAATTCAAGTTTCTTGCTAAAGGATTGTAGCCAGATTCAGTTCCATGATTATCTCTAACATGACCATCTTGTTAGTGTATTTTCTGGTACCCATTTTAGCTGAGATTGAGCAGTAATCATAAGCTATTTGTTAAAGCATGAGAAATTTATCACCAGATTCACAAATCTCTGTCTGACTCCATCCTAGTTTGTTCCCCTAGTGCAAAATGCCCTATTATTAAGTTACATTTTTATATTATGTAGTATAAAATGATTTTAGTGCAATTTACCATTACTGTTTCATTCATTTCATAGATATATTAAGTGCTATGTACATGACACTGTGCTGGGATAGATGTCTTGGGGAATATAAAGAAAGAACAAAATGTAGCTTTTTCTTTTAACAATATATAAACTGCTATTTTATATAACTATTTCCTATAGACTTATATTATGAAATATATTACCTATATGCTGGTTCTATAAACACACACACACACACTCACCAAAATTTGGTATTATTTTAAATAACAATTAGCAGGTGTTGAATGTCAAACTTTTACATATTACTTTGTGGTGTCTATAAACCTGTGCTAGTATTTGTACAAGAGAAAAATATTTTGATAAATGGATATGAGGGTAAGAAGGCAGATTAAGGGAATGGAATTTTTTTAGAGATCCTGTTATAAAACTGTTTCTTGTAACTCTAATACTAAAAAATTCTTACATTATCTATTTTTTTCTGGTATTACACAGGGTCATAGGAATATGTTCCTCAAGGTTACATATCCAATAAGTGGCAATACCAGGACTAGATCACAGTTCTGAGCATTATGTTGGAGGATTGAGACTCCAAAATCTTCACATTTCCAAGTAAATGCAAAAGCAATACTCTTGGGCATGGATATGGGCTACATGAGTTCTCAAAACCCTTTGTTTTTTAAAGGGTTTTGTGTCCTCACTTAAGAAAAACTAATGTATGCAGTGAAAGTCTTTCATAAATCAGTGTCAATATCCCTTCTGCTTAAAAACCATTATTTTAACCTATTGGAAATGAGCAAATATTTTTAAAGCAGCTAGCATAATTTCTTACACACATAAGAGGCACTCACTTCCCATAATAGTCCCACTTCCCATCAGTTTTATCATGGTTCATTAGCATCCCAAAATTTGATCTTTATTTATGAGAATTCCTTTTTCCCAGTTCTGAGTTAATGGTAGTAGAAAGTCTACCAAAATGTTATTGGCCAGGATGATATATTCATCAGTATTATGAGATAAACAAAGTAAAACAGGTCCCTTTACTGAAGCACTTGTCAGAATCCATAAAATACTAATGTGGTTAAGACTTTCCTAGAGAGAAATGTGGTATGAAATGTCTTGGACATGCATTCTTGAATAGGAAACCATTTTTTTTTCACTAACCATCTCAGAGACCAATGGTCCAGTTGAAACAGTGTGGGGAAATACTATTCAAGGCTACACCCTGAATCACCTAGCAGTCCATCTACTAACCAAAGTTTTTGGTTTCTTTCTCTTTTTTTTTCCCCCCATACCTTTAGCTACTCAAGTTAGTTCATTTCTTCTCTCTGTACCATTCTTTCTTCTGTCAATTCTTGTTGAATTCAGTGGTGAACACTAAGATGCAAAGTAATTTTTGTTTTAATTGCACTGACCAGAAGCTTCTCTGTTTACTAGGGGAAACCTATTTAACAACTGTGGAGACCCTGGGAAATGCTTACAAAGCACAGAAGAAACTGGGATGGAGAAATGGTTCATAGCCATTGTACACTCAGGCTGAGGATGTTAATGGTCTACAACACAGTAACGGCTAATTTTCCTTTCCCTGTGTCAACACTGTGCTAAATGGTTACCTGTATTATCTTGCCAAACCCCCATAAGGTAGGAACTATTATTATCTACATTTTACCAGTGATCTCACTGGGGCTCCAAGGGATTAGGAACTTGCACAAGGTCTCAGCACATGTAAGTGAAAAAGCCAGCACTCAGATTCAGGTGGTTTAACTTCACAGCCTGTCAACCAGTACCCCAGCCTCAGCTCTTCATAGAGGAGGATATATGGTTTTTATATGGTTTTCCTCATGACAGAAGAATTTGCCATGTTAGTTTAGAGCTATTTAGGTAAAACTTCCATAGATCCCTGATATGGCCCTGAAGATGAGAAAAGTCTTATATGACCCTGGAACTTTCCAATTTGAAATCGTGAGTCTTCCTATTTCAAAATAAACATGATGCTATTATAGATATAATTTAAAAATTTACAGGCCCCAACTCAGGCTTAATTTTGCTTAGCAATTAGACCAAAATAATACAGTTCTTCTCTATAAATAAAAGGAGGAGGAGAAATATCTGTTCTCTAACAATGTTCATAAATCTGCCTTTAGTATAAATTTTGCCACAACATCAGAGAGAGACTTTTGGCATAGAGCCAAGTCTTTGAAAAGCCACTCTAACCTTGTGCGGCATATAGTGCAATAAAACGTGGGCTCTGACCTTCCAAAGAAACTGTAAAGAACCATTTTGTGCCTCTTATCTTTTTTTTACTCTCCATCCCCAGTCTGCTTAATTACATTTTCACATGAACTCTGTAGGTATTAAGTGAAGCTGGACCCATTCAATATTTCTATTCAATCTTTTCAGAAAATTGGTTCTGTTTTCTTTGGGCAATCTGGAGGTAGTTTCCAATGGATTTCGACACCATTCTGATGATGTATTTCCCCAGCCATTTTTCTTAGGGGACACTTCTGCTATTTTATTTTTAAGATAAAACTTTCCAGAGTCATCTGAATCCATCACAGTATTTAAAAAATATAGTTGTCATCCTTGTCAAGGCTGGAGGAACCCAATGGAGAAAATCTTAGTTCGTTTTCTCTAAGCTGTTCCTGCTGCCTGCTAAGTGTTAAACCTCTAACAGGGTTTCAGTCATTTTGCAATGAAATATTTCCAGTATTTGTCCCCAACAGCAGAAAGACAAAGCCTGCCATTTCCTTGGCTTTCCAAATGACAGAGATGGCGTGAATATCTCTGACCCAATAAAGACATATGGCCCTGTGTGTTCCTGGGCTCAGGGTGTTTCCATAGGTCACTCCATTATTTTCATTTATCACTCACAGTAGTAACCCTTTTAAACTGTACCTTTCAGTATTCCATTTGCTGAGGAAATTGAGCTGCTTGTGCATCCCTTGATTGAAAGGGTACTGTTAAGAGGATTAGAGCTGATAGACAAGAAGGTGAAAAAAAATTTTCTTTCCTTTTTTTGTTAAAGTCCTAGGTTAACTCTTAAAATGGAGTTATGAATTGGCATAAAAATTATCCAGTAAGTGGGTTCAAAAAGTAAAAATGTTAGCTACTCTGATTTGAAAGAAATAATAATAATCTGAGTATGTTTAGAAGGCTTTTATTCACACAAAAAATTCCCTGTAGATGAGGTGATTTAATGATCCAACACCATGTGATAAATTTTCATCATCAACTTGACTTCAGAATTTTAACTTTTAAGTGGGGGAAGACAGACAAAAAGGAATGGGGATTGTGTTTGTAAACGACTAAGAAATATGGATTGTGCAGATTACTGGCCAACATCAGATCTGGCAGAAGTGTGTGGTGATTTCATGTATAGCTCCCGGAGCATGGTTAATTCCTAGGCCATTTCGTTAGTAACAGCCCATTTCTTGTTCAATCCCTAAATCTACACTCCCATTTGGTTTGGCACCGGGAGAATTAACTCATCGGCACAAAATCATAGAATTTTACATGATTGCATTAGCAGATGGTACAAACAAAATAAACCTGGCAATTTTAATCAGGGAATATTTGAAAGTCTGCTTTGAACAGAAATTTTTAAAAAATGTTTATGCTTTTGAAGAGTGGCACTGAGTCCTCGAAAAGCTGAAA